TCTTTCTGCAGTCAGGACATGACCATCGTAAACCTTTAGAAGGGTTAAGGACTGCATCAGCAGCACGGCCGATAATACCAGCACACTTTACTTGCCCAAAACGATCACACAGCCAAATAGAAATGAATTGTTCAGATTCAGGGCCTTTTTTCGCACGACATGGTGTAAATAAGCAATCCATGCCCATTGAAAACAACAAAAGTAGCTTATGAAGGAAAAAAAGAAAGAAAAAAAAATACTAAAAAATTCCACGTCACAAATTTTCAGCAAATTAAAGAGAATTTCTAACTTCCCTGCCCACTGTAAATATAGAGCGAAAGCTAAAGAAACTGTAAACAAAGATTAACAGGCAAAAAGAGAGACTCAATTGTTGATTACACTAAATCAAAATGATTTTTTCACATAAATGGTTATTAAATTCATATACGTTAAACTTACACTTTATTCTTTTAGAGAATTTTTAAAATTAAACACGAATAAAGCAAAAAAGCTAAGAAATACACTAAAAAAATTGGAATATTTCTTGCACAGAATAAAAACGCGACTATAACACGCACGCAGAGTTGTCAAACTTTAAAAATAACATGTCGAAAACAAAACAATTACATATTTGAAAATCATTGTTATTCAGATCATTACCTTGCCGAAGATTTAAAAAAAGAAGAGCAGAAAAACGGCCAGTAAAAAGAAAAAAATAAGAAAAAACATTTCCTGCAAGATATGATCCGACTTGAATAAAATTTTCAATTTTCATCATGTTCGCATAAATATTCTCATGTGTTGTAAACTATTTATTTCCATGTACTGCTCATATGTTGTTGTCTGCTTCCATTAACCCACTACGGCACATTTAGGCCGCTCTTCAAATCATAATTTCCATATTGAAGAGCGTAAAGCATTTTTACAGCAATTGGGTTTGCCTCGCCATGAAGCTTACGAATTGGCCGTGAGTACTGAATTTGACGTTAAACATTATGAAAAAATGCTTCATGATATGTTTAAAAATGGCAAAAGAACAGAATTTATTAACGCTTATATATCGGACAATATAAAGCGTTTATCGAGCGGCAATTATGATTTAAATGGTCAGAGCAATTTTCATAATTCTGCACAAAATAATATTCCTCCCCCTCCGCCTCGTATGTTAAATTGGGAGAGTGACACCGCTATTGATGTCGATCAAATATCCGGACATGACGTAGCACCGACGACGTCAAAAAAACTTAACAAATCTGAAGGTGCGAATGGATCGGAAATGTTATCCAGATCTAAAAAACGAAAAAGAAGCTATTTCTTACGATTGGGCTTTCAAAACGAAGAAGCTCAACAGTTGGCAAAGGATGGTTATTCAAGAAAAAGAGCAAGGAAACTTGGCAAAGCATTAAATACAATTCCATTCAAAATTGCTATATTGCCCTGCGATTATCCGGAAACTTTATTGTTTACCGAACATATGGATCAAATACAAAGCGCCTTAATGACTAAATTAAGCAGCGAGCTTATTCAATCAACTCTATCAACTTTACCAATCTCCAATATTGTCTATAAGGCAGGCTTTATGTCTATCGATTGCAAGAATGATGAAGCAATGATTAAATGGTTGTTCTTAAATGTGCCTCTCATCCAATTAGGAGAGGACATAGAGTTAATGGCTATAGAAGAACGAACGATGCCAGATCCCTTTATTTGCGTAGGAAAATTTAAAAATGCTTCAAATCTAGACGCAAAAGAGATACTACGCATCGTCCAAGCAACAAATAATGGTCTTATCGTAAAGGCTTGGAGAACTCTCAAAACGGTAATGACTGCTACTGCCACAAAGCTCGTTTTAGCAGTAGATCCCAAATCTGCAGAGATATTACAAGAAAAAAAGAATTTCGTTATGTACAAAGGTCAACGGGTCCACTTAAAGCATCAGAAAATGTTAAAGCCTTACTTGAGATCTGACCCTACTAGGGCACAAAAAAATTCCTGGAACAAAATTAAAAAATTACGCCGAAACGCGGCCACCCAAAAATTACAAAGACCATAAACTAAGACATCGAAAAAACCGGTTTGCTAAAATTTCAAGCACTTTCCGCTTTTCGAACCTCGTTAAGTTAAATATCAAAATTAAATAAATGAAAAAAACGCTTGGAAGAGAAGAACTGTAAGTTTTAATCACTTCACTATTAAATGTCTACATATTAAATAATTAAACAAATTCCAGAATTTGCATCCACCAGCTTTTGTTGTATGAAATGCATTAGCTCTTCAATTAATTCATCATAAGTATCAACTGAAACCAATTATTTGAAACCGGAGTTAGTGCTACACACTGAATGAAATTGTGCCCGGTTTTCCTCTGTATTATACTACTTTATGCAGCGAACAAAATTTTCTTTATTAAAAATTTTGGTAGTAATTTAAGTCGTATTGAAAAGAAATTAAAATATAGTGGAAAAAGGAATACGAAGAATATTGAAAACTCTTTATATCTTGCATTTTATATATATATCCATATCATCTTATCATATGTATAAATAAATTCATTTTCATATTGTAACTTGCTAAGGCAAATATTAAAAAAGACGTTCACGGCAATATAATCAACCCTATATACTGAATAAAATGTGAATATTTAGCAAAAAAAAAAAAAAACACTAAAATCGAAAAGTTATTCTTTCAATATATTCTTCTAAAATGATCGTCCGCATGTAAAAACCTCACACGGTTTGTGGTTAAAAATTTATTGAAAGAAATAGTCTAATAAACTTTACATCGTCGACTAATTTCATTGCTGCTTGAACTATGCTTTAGGAGGAAGCGAACAAAAGTAGACATTACTCTGGATTTTAATAATAAGAGAAGACAATCTGCTAAAGTGAGCTAAAATGTCGAGTACACCGAAGCGAGCGACTGTTGCCGGTCCAGCTGGTCGACCTTAAAGTAAACGCTAGTGGGAGAGGACCTGCGAAAGTGAGCTAAACTGTCGAACTGCTAAGAAATCTAAACCAAAACAAGCTCGATGTTGAAGCAGAGCGCGCGGCTTTCGCAAGTTCAGCTAACCGTGCCTGATTTTATGCCCAAAACATTTAAATTACAAAGCTCATTGAACTTTAATTTCTGTTTGAGAGAGATCACAATCAACATCTAGAAAGCAAATAGTTGTTCTCGTGAAAGAAAGCATTTGTCTCTGATACGATACGACATCCGCGGGCTCTAATGTAATATCCTTAAGACCATCCAGAGAATTAGAATTGCTGGCGTGATAAGTGATCGCCGGATTCGAGATAAAGTCCGGAGCTAAAAGCATCGATCTGATCCTATGCGGTAGAAGCTTGTATCCAATTGGGAGAAAAATCTTTAGCGAGGTCGGTAAGAATTATTTTGATCTTGCGTATTGACGTTACTCTTGAAACTCCTCCCACCTCCTACATCACGCTAACTGAGAAGAGGCGCTTACGACACTCGAGAAGACAACACAATAATAACAAGATCGTAGTAATAATGATTATTAATTACAGTAAAACAAGTAAAAGCACTTTAATGGACCACAGCCTACCATTAGATACGCCGCACGCGTATACATATCTACGGATATCTATGCAATGGCTTTTTACTTTTTTGTTCACGAATACTAAGAAACCAAGAAAGTACGTCCATCTTTGGCGAAAAAGATTTTTCAATCAGATAGCGCAGCAGTTCGCACATTCGTTATCGTGAAGGAGCAAGTTCAAAGACATATTTCTTGTTTTATTTGTCGGTGTGGTCCCTTTTGCGCCTACATTTGCAGACATATAGTGGTTTTAATGCCGTACATCTTGTGGTACGTGGTATATTAAGTTTTCGCAGGCAGAAGAACTTGAGATGAACGCATCTTTTACTATGCCAATCGATTCAGATTCATTTTCTGGTCCATATCAAATTTGTCTGTCCGTCTGATGTCTGTCCATGTATTCTCATATTTAACCTAAAGTTCGCAATTTTCGAGATATATTATTGAAATTTGGTACACTAGCGTGTTTCGATCCAAGGAAAAACCATTCCGCATACGCTTACTTTCACGAGTCCTTCTAAGAAAAAATGTTGTTATTCTTACAGTTTCTCAATAGAAATCGCTTAGTAATAGGATTTCGGTATCCTAAATTGATGTGAAACTTTGAATCAGATGAAGCGATTTTTTGAAGTCCCTTGTCATATAATCGTCCCTACGGAAACTGAATCTTTCTAAAAAGGCCTACATTTCAATACTTGTTGATGAAAATTCGTTTATAACAATAAGCTGACGTAATGATTAATAGTACCGAAGTTGGAACACGTAGGTCCTTTTTTTGCATCCCAAACCATATAAAAGTTTTAACGAAGAAAAAAAGAATGGTTTATGTGCGAAAAAGTTTTAATTTTTAATATTTTGTGATGAGAACTTGTCCTCAGTAAATCAACCATAGCGAATTTGGACCGCATGGATCTATTCTTTTATGGGGACTCCCATGAAAACACATCCTTTCCACAGCGACAAAGCCTGACGAAGGCAACTGGAAAATAATATAATCTTTAACAAGTAAATTAAGTTTGCTAAATTTAGACCTTACAGTATCTTCCTTTTGTACAAAAGCGTCCTTATTGTCGCTTTTTTTTGCGAAATCTCATGCAAAGTAATTTTCGTCGCATTTTCGTCTTACTTATTTGGTGTCGCATGCCGAAAACCTAATATAAGAATTTATCGGCACTAAGAACGAAAATTAAAATAATTCCTATTTAATTTATATAATTTACCTCTTTATTCCCTCTCTAGGCTTTTGCATTAAAACTTTCAAAATTAACACGAATGAAAAGTATTTCATTAACGTTTGTCAGACTGAGGAGATACCAGCTCCCGAAGATGTAACTGAAGATCAGTTGACGGCCATTCTAAATTCTGATGAGCCGAGTTCATTTCGTATACCAATGAGTATTTCGGAGCCACGCATAACCAAAGATAAATCTGACAAGCCAGCGGACGCTATCGATATAGCAGTCAATCCGAAATTTTTTTCCAAAATTGAGAAATCGTTACTGTTTCGCGATTTCTTTTTAGCTTTGATTGCAGAAGCCTTGAACGACAAATACAATGTGCAAATAAAGGTTGACAAAGCAATAATATTAAATAATCGTAAATTCATCGGAACATTAGTAACGCATCGTGTGCGCAATAACGACATTAAAACGGTATTGAGTTCATACCAAAATCCTAGCGATGGGGACGTAAAGAACTTAAAAGATCTACAAGCTTCTAGTGCCGGCCATAAGACGTTGATTGAAGAAATCGACTCTAAGGAATTTAATGCTTTAAAAAAAAAATCTGAAGAACTTAAGCAACAAAATTCGACATCAATTACGCCCGAGTATAAACTACGTGCTCGTCTCCGCGACAACCAAATCGAAGAAGTACAAACCGAATTTTATTTACCTAAATGTGTAAGATTATAATCATATCTAATGTTAATGTTGTACGCACAAAATTACTAACCCTTAATATATGAAATTTTTAAGCTTTCTTCAGGAGAAATCACTTTGGATATTGGCGAAGATCGCATATTGCTTGAATCTATGCAGCGCGGTTATCTTTTCGACAAATTTGTTAATTATCAGTTAAATCAAGATCGCGCCCGCGCCATATTCGACAAAACTAATAAGGTATTTAAGCGGAGGTATAAATGAAACGAAGTCGATATATTGATTGTTTTTGTTTTTCTTGGTTTTCTTTTACCACAGATGCTGCAGTTACGTATTCCAGTTACCTCCAATAAAGCGTAGAGATTCCAATTTAAAGGTTCTTGTGTAAATTGCTTTAAAAAACTGAAATAAAATGTTTCACGAAAAATTAAACTTAACCCTAAAATAGGATCAGGTTAGTGTTGAATCCATAAATGGTGTGCGACCGACTTTGTAAGCCATCCGCAATTAGCAATGAAATTCAGTCCAGTGTGTATTAGAATAGATGAAAAAAATTGGAAATAACTTGGAATTAAAATTTCAATAAGCCTATCGAGACCACTTTTACCCCGAGCACGCAGTTGCTTCCCGCGAATACTTGGATATCAGTTTTTCAAAAAATGTTCAGTTTTTTTCGAGGTTGTTTTAATTTTTTCCACATAGCGGGTGTGGAAGATAACAGGTCGTCGCCATTTTCTAACCACATATTCCTTATCGATGAAGGAATGTTTGCGCCGAATTTGAGTTTCCTACCTTTATTTTTGCGACTTTGACAACTCAGAAAACTTACCCATCAAATTAACGTGTTTTAGTAAAAATAGGTAGCAGGTACACCGCATCAAGAAATAACAAAGTGGACGGGGAAAAAAGTAGATATACGCATTTGCTGCATTAGATCATTCAAAACGAATACATCAGAAAGTATCCACTTCCATAGGCAGAATTTTTGATTTTAAAGACACGGGCCAGTCGATTTCATAGCTGCTATAAATTTAGCGTTAGGCAAAGGGACATTAATTCCTTTACATTCGATTGGAGCAAATTGCCGCCTTCAGGCGAATTCGGACAAATCAATAGCTTAAAAGCGCTTCCAAATGTAAGAGACATTTAAATATATCAAAAAACATAATAAAATAAAAGCAAAAGCATCGAAATTTCTTAATAGAAAGTTTGCGGATTATATAAGAGAAAGAAAATGAACTTTTTTAGCTTTAAAATCGGATGGCATGCCATTTATAAACTATTGTGGAAATTCAATCAGGTTTAGCTTCTCAAATTTAATAAACTAAGCGCAGAAGTTTGCAAACGTTGCTTTCACAATAAGGAAGTGCTCTAGGTAAACAAGAACGTGGTTGAGTTCCTCAAAACTCCATATCTCTTTCCAATTTTTCGTAATGCTTACGATGCCGTCATCTTCCAAATCCTTTGGACTGTAACTTTTGAGTCTTACTTGGAAACAATTCCGTACGCTTTTTCGTAACACTAATCGGACTGATTAAGATTAAGCGTAAGCTGCTTACATTCTTTCATGCGCATTTTTGATTTTTGATTGAAATTTGGTGTTTTGTAGGAACAGCTGGTGGTTAAAGACAGATTGATACATGCAGAATTGTTGCCGGGTCCTTTTTTATTTTTTTCTTTAATTATAAAACAATCTTTTATTTGGGAGGGAAGACGTTAAGATTCCACAATAGAACTAGAGACAAATCTTCATGAGAGTCAGTGAAGAGTGCCTGCCTTGTCATTCTCTTATTATATGACACGAGGCAAAATATAACCCATTATTAATATAAGATATTAAATAAAATATTAATTGGATCAGAAATCCAATTTTCCTAACATGGTTGCAAAACCATATTACGGATGGTTAATGGTCATTTTTCCATTTTATCCTACTATGGATGGCTTCAATTTTCAACTTTAAAATATTCTTCTTCACGCGAATTTATCGATTCTGAGGCAGATTTGCTTGCTTTGTGAAATTGAATTTGAAAGGATGACTTGGAGTGGCGACAACAGGAGTCTTTTCCAAAGAAAGCATTGTTTTTCGAAAGACGCCAAGATCTCGACGTGGGTTTTAGCAAAACTGGTAAACAATTTTTCATGCGATTTAAGACTTAAGTAAAAATCTGCAATTTCAAAGATGATATAATTCTTAGTACAACGACCTGCAAAAGAACGGGTTCAAGAACTTTACGCTGGTTTTTTTGTAGACACTTAAATCAAAACAAGATATATTTTTTGTTGTGAAAATATCCGAAATGCATTTGAGTTTATTTTATTAAATGAAATGGTATTTTAGAAAATTAAATGGAAATGGAATTGTTTGAAAATTAGATAACTCGAAATTTATGTGGGTTCATATGACCGTGGTATTCTTTACTTCTATGGTGCAGCTGCTTTCTGTTCTTCTTTTGGAGCCTCTGGTTTGGCTTCTTTAGGAGCTTCTGCTTTAGTTTCTTTTGGTTTCTCCGCTGCTTTAGCTCCTTTTGCTTTAGGATCCTGCGGTGGATCGGGTTTTACACCCAATTTCTCATATAATTTAGGCACGTAATCGTCGTATTCGGCTTGGAAGAAATTGCCAGCCACAGGAGTGCCCAGTTCATATTTTTTAGCGAATTCAGCAATTTTAAACCCGCCACGGCCATCGGCGCTGTTATTTTTTAAACGAGTCTCATCAAATTCTCTTTTACATTTCTGCCTATATACCAAGAAAACGTAACGGTGTAAGCCGGTGTCTTTTGGGGGGCCAGACCCAATATATGCCGATAATACATCACCGTTCTGAAGTTTACAACCTGGCACATTAACAACTAACCAATGATGCCATTCACGGAACTTGGGATCCTCGCGACTTGGAGCATCTGGATCAGTCATGCAAATTGTGTAAAAGGAGTCAGCCTCAGCATTCCAGCTAAGTTCTGGTTGCTCTTTTACCTGAGTAGGGGTCAACACATTACCTTCTTTAGCCTGCACGTCACCATAGCAAACATTCAGCAATTCACCGGGCGCTTTTTCAATGACATCCGGGACAATTGCATTCGTTTCGAAGCTAGCCATTTTAGCGAAATTACGCTTATGTATTATAAGCGGTGTGAAGCAATGCGATGAAGATGGCGAAATAAAATCTGAACGGCTTGTATGAAAATTTTCAACAGCTGACAGTGAGAAAGTTCTAGACAGTTTCGATAAAGTTAACCGCCCTGACTGCGCAGTTGATAAAGTCAAATAATTTAAAACAGCAGGTGACGATTTTCGAATCAAGCGAGCACAAGTAGAAAACATTATGATTGAAATTATGTGCAAATAACGTGTTAAAAAATTTGCCGGGTAATTTTGTTAATCGGTTGATAATGATTATAGTTACCCAATATAATACAATCAATAATTACAGAATTCAAAGATAAGCAGAGAAGTCAACTGATTTTGATATTTTGGTTGTTATCAACTTGGCAGCACTCTTAAGAATAAAATCATTGCCAATAGCAAATTAAACCGATATTTTATGTTCATCAGCTGCTTGTTTTTACTCTTATTGTTTCCGCTGAACGCATTCCGAAAATGTAGAAAACCACTTCATTTAACTTTTTATCGTTTCATAATTTCCTAAAATAGCGCAACGTAAAACAATATAAGTTATAACGAAATTGGTTGCAAAGTTGAAAATTAGAAAATCTATATAAAACCTAAAAACTTTGCAATTTTCCTTTATAAACCGATAGAATGATTAAGTATGGTTTGTTGCTTTAAAATTGTTTATTCGCCCGGATATTATACCTACGGCTTTTCTTCTACGAGTCAGCAAATCAACCGAGTTGGGTAAAAAGGGTTCAATATGTAATAGAGTTGACGGCCAGCCTGATTGTGAATTTATATGTATACGTATAGGTTTGCGTGTATGGCGTTCGCCATGTAACTACAATCATTTTAGCGGAAGTGATCTTCCTACCTTCCTTATGAGATATTTGCTTACAGATCGCAAAATAAAGACTTTTGCAACATTGTAATTTTTTCCTTTAAAGAAAGTCCTGGAGTAGTAACTGTCAGGACTAAATTTCCAAAATCGTTATGGTCACTGCGGTTTTCATCCATTTTCTACGTTTATATAGTATTCATCTCATTCTGTTGCTGCTCGCACTATCGGTTTCCTTTAATGTTGAAGAACCAATTCCCTAATAAAGTTTATGGTTTTATATAATTATTATAACGAAATACATGCATTCATCAATTTATCTAGAGTAGGATAAAGTTGGTAGGGTAAGTCGTATTTCGTTTCGAGCAAATTATTGAATACCTGGGTAACCTCCATAACCCTAGCAACAAGATACCTACTTCGGAGAAATTTTCAGACCTTACACAATGATATCAACGGACAGGCAAAGAGGTACACTTAAATAGATGATGGCTGAAATTCAGCGTGTTTTCAATAGCAGTCAAAATATATTATGCGAAACTGAGCTATATATAAATATATTATGCGAAAGTCAAAATTCTCAAAAGTTTGCTTTAGCCAGTAATTCATCAGGATTCCCAGCTAACGCACAACAAAAGGAACGAAAACGGGATCGTGACCGGTCTTTAACAAATTTATTAAAAGATGACGTATCACCCAAACTATCACGAATCGATCCATTTAAGTTGAATTATACTGTCCGTTGCCAACCATGGGGTTACAATTTTCGAGATATTTTGATGAAATGCGGTACATAGACAAGCTTTGCCCCAAAAAAATAGGCTGTTGAAAATGCTTCGGACCCAATTATTGTTTCGAACACTTCCAATACAAGAGCTTACCTTGAAAAGTCGTCACATGAGTAACTTCATAAGGCAAAGCGGTGTAGGACATCTAATACTTAGCCTGTCCCACTGTAGCGGTTTTACTTGTTAAAAATAATGTTTTTCAAGTATTCAAATATGGTCTTAACAACCTGAAATATTAATTATTCATATTAATTATTATTCCGTTAACTTCTCTCTCATTCCAAACATTTTTTCAAAATTACACCTCTTTCAGTTTGTTGCATATACGTTATCCCTTAAAATTTTCTAAAATGTTTGAATCCATAACTAAAGAAGAGAAAAAGGAACCACTAGCCTTTTGCTGATTATTAATGGATATAATCATGAAACGATTGGCCGCATTTGTTTTTTAAATTGATGGTAACCTGAAAAAAACTGAGACGAAGTTCGTTTCTCCAGACTAAGTTTTGACATCACCTCGATTCACAGTCATCTGAGAATAATTTAAATGAGTGGGCCTGAAATCCACCTCGATTCACAGTCATCTGAGAGAAGAGACGTACAAAAGTGACTAAATTAACTACCACTTTTAGTTTGATACAGATGTTTGTAAAGGCAAGAACAAAAATTATGGTCAGCTTGATGCCAATCTCTTAACGATATTTGATAGCTGATGCATTATATTAAATTATAAGATTTCATTCGATAAATGTAGTGTCTATGCTTTGTTTGTGTATTGTTTTGTTGGAAAGAACTAAAGGAAAAATTAGACCATCAAACTTGAAACTTTAAAATTTTCGAACTATAATTTACGAATAACGGCAAAATTGCCAAAGTTTTACGAACTTTAATCTGATTTTGCTCGGGCCGATTTTATTGACTATTAAACTTAATTTAATAAGTTTACCAAGTTTAATAAAGGTCTGTTCTACTAGGCAAATTTTTAAGTGTCGTAAAATAATTTTATTGACAAACGTCAATAAGTAAGCAGAAATTATTTTTGCTATTTACGTTAATTATAAAAAAATATAAGCTTTATTTAGCATGACTCATATACGGTGCGGCTTAAAAAGTAGGTCTATGTTATCCTCATTCCCTTTGGTAAATTTACTATACAATTTTTGTACGAACCCTTATATGGGTTGGTATATAAAAAATAGACCTGCGTGGTTCAAATTTGGTAAGGTTAATCTTTAAGTCAAATTATTCTTATGCACGAATTTTTATTACGAAGTATTGATAGCAATCAAATGAATTTGTGTATACCGTGGAAGGTTGGGGCTTAACAGAAAAGAAAGTTCCCAGCTCGGTGAAAGCCTTGCGACCCTGCTTCTTTTCTTATTAGATATTCAGGAATTATTGTTACCTGAGGAATTATCAATTTCATTTGAACGACCTGACATTTAACTGATTAATGCTTTAACAGCCCTGTATTACTTTAGTGAATAGCAAACCAAACAGCTGCACTTACTAACAAAGTAATTTAATGCATTGCGTTTATTTGCAATACTCTTTCGCGTAACAAGTAGTAGATATCCGCAAATATAAACAAGAGATAAGACATTAGTTTTTAAAGTAAATGCTCAGTATTAAAACAAACAGCTTAACGGTACACTTAAGGTAAGTCTGATTCATAAGGCAATGGCAGAACCATATATTATAAATATATGTAAAGGCGATGGCTTTTTTTAGATATGGTGTAATCAATTATTTGTCTTTATCAGTTTACAGAAGTAGAGTTGAAACTCGTTAAAACAAATGACAAGTGAAACCTCTCAAGTTGGGGTCATTAGTAGTAATACAACTACGTCGTCGACCGTTGACGTTGACGTTCCTCCCCCCTCACTGTCAGAACTTTATACTCAAACTGATTTCTACATAGGTGTTGGGCTTGCTATTTGCTCATGCTTTTTTATTGGTTCCAGTTTTATAATAAAAAAGAAAGCTCTTTTGCGCTTAAGTCGTCATGGAGAAGTTAGAGCATCCGCTGGTGGTTTTGGTTACCTTAAAGAATGGATATGGTGGGCAGGATTGTTAACAAGTATGTAATTAACTGTTACTACGAAAATTCAATTCACTTTAATGCATTCTTTTACATTATTCTTTTAGTGAGTCTTGGTGAAGCAGCAAATTTTACGGCTTATGCTTTTGCTCCTGCTTCATTAGTCACACCGCTGGGAGCAATAAGTGTTATTATATCGGCAGTAATGGCTTCCAAATTTCTAAATGAGAAACTTAATTTGTTGGGCAAATTAGGCTGTGTACTCTGCATACTTGGCTCTACCATAATTGTCATACATTCACCCAAAGAAAAAGAAATAGAGGATTTAACAATTTTATTTGAAAAACTGCAAGATCCTGGTTTCATATTTTATGTGATATGTATATTTGGTTCAACACTTTTTGTGGCTTGTTTCGTGGCCCCAAGACACGGCAACAACATTGTTGTAGTTTATATTTATTTATGCTCAGGCATTGGCTCATTGACTGTTATGTCTTGTAAAGCTTTGGGCTTAGCAATTCGTGATACATTATCGGGAAAATCCAATGATTTCGCCACTTGGATGCCGTGGTTCCTAATCGCCGTAACAATCACATTCATTGCCATTCAAATGAATTATCTCAACAAAGCATTAGACGTATTCAACACAGGCATCGTTACTCCCATTTATTATGTAATGTTTACCACTTTGGTAATAGCAGCATCAGCAATTCTGTTTAAGGAATTCGTCCATATGCGTTTAGATGATATACTGGGTGACGTATGCGGATTTCTAGTAGTTATATGTGCTGTATTTATGTTAAATGCTTTTAAAGACCTAGACATCACACTTAACGACGTGCGTAGCATAATGCGTCCAAAAATGCAGAAAATCAATCAATACGATGAAGAAATTTTAGTTACTCAAAATTTAAAAGAAGCACGATACTCGTATGGATCGAGTGATATGTATCGCAAGGCTTGACAAAAGCAGCGTTATCAGGTTTAGTTTTCTTTCAAAACTTAATAGGAGTCTCTTTTTTTGGCTATTATATAAGTTTAGAGATTTTGTACATATACTCCAAAATTGAATGACATTTTTTATTACACATACTTCAAGCAATCACTCAATGTAAATGTAGTTCTAAGCTAAACCTTATATATCTATTGAAAAATAAAAAATAATTTCTTCAATTGCAGTTATACTTTATTTTTTACTTTGCAAAGTTCTCTTAAATTTAAACCTGCTGAAGTTTTGTCGTGTTTGTGCCCTTTATCCGTAGCGCATTGAAGGTATAAATGCCGGATGATGGTTAAAAAACTGCTTGACGGTTGAAATCGCTTGAAATAACTCGCTAACTTGAAATTTACCCTAAAACATCGAAATCTCGAGTTAAGTTTCTCTTTAATTTAACTTGAAATAAGCTCAATCCTCAACATCCTATCGTATTTCTCTCTTTGATAAGGTAAAATTTTTCATTTTCTTGTCATCGTTTTCAATGCCTTCCATCATTGCGCTTGCCTTGCAGGATTAGGTTTTCACGCACTTTCTTGTAATGTGTGGTGTTAAGAAATTTGTTTTTCTTCTCTATATAGCTGATCAAGTAATGCTTCCAAAAAATTGTATTCAAGATTCATTGGAAAGTTTTGTGAATAATAATAATATTGAAGCTGCATAGCTTCTTAAGTAATAATTAGATGTTTAAGGGCAATCATTCACAAAATTACATTTTGATTATAAGGTGTTTAAATTTCCCCGGGGATTGTTGGATGAATTGACAAAAACTATATTAACACAAATCGGCCGATTTCGCCTATCGTGAATATTTTTACTTTCGTTGAATTCCGTTTTTCTAAACTTCCTTGAATCACTCCACAAGGACCGCACATTCCTCAGCTTCGTTTGCATAAGTAAACTTTTCAATATTTTATTAATGAAAATACTTTTCGAATATATTATGTATGTTACTTTTTGTACTGTAGTGCTGCGGTGTATTATTTTTGTTGCAATTACAGATGCAATAGACGTCTTGGCAAATACTCATATTTGTAGATTTGAAGATGTACGAAATTAAACCATACCAATACTCATAAGATCTAAACCGATTAATCTTCAGACGATTGTTATTTCGTGAGTCCTATTGCTTTTGCAGACTATGATGTTTACTTAAGTGGTTCATATAAATATCCAATTCGTCCTCCGATTCTCTTGCATTATCTTCATTTATATCGAACATTTCATTGTCCGTTGTCTGTGCTTCGACATCATCAACATTATTATCGTCATCGCTTTCAGCAAAATATTTATCTTCTTTATCTTGATTAATTTGCTGCAAGTCATCAAAATTTGTATTGTCGTCCACTGTACTGTAATCGAAATCTTCATCCTGTTCTGTTAGAAATCGTTCATGCATCAAACTAATAAATTCCTGCTTTAAAAGTTCTCTTTCACCAGCAGTTATAAGATTATTTAACGACTTTCCATTATTTGTAAAGGGCGGATCTGTTTTTTTCTTCATATTTGGTAGACGAGTAGAAGAACAAGCAATACTTTCATTATCAAAATTTCCCCATTGTTGACGATAGCTAGCAGGAACGGAGAGATCTTCTCTATCACATTGGTTCTGGCAAACTTGAAAGTTATCCAATTGATCCCCGTCGGTGTTGTCGTCGATTTTGAAATCTTCTTGCGTTTCGGTTTCGTTCTCCAACTGTTCCTTAGCTTTTTCTAATACTTCGCTTAATTCTTTACATTCCATAGTGTGTATTAATATACCGGAAAAGCTTGTATTGCGTACATCATAACTATCACGTTCTTTTATCTCCGCCAAACTCAGGTACTGACCCACCAATTCTTGATATAACTCTGGAGCTCTTTTCATCATTTCCTGCTCGCTAAAATACTCTCCTTCTTTTATAAGTTTTTGTAAGGCAGCATATCGACGGTTCTTGATATCTTGTTCACGCGTTTTTAATTTTGTTTGATAATCTCGGACAATGTGATGTAATTCTTGGTCACTTTGAGCTACAGCGAGGCGAGCAAAATTCTGCAGATGTTTTTCTTGTAAGTACGTACCGAACCGAAGTAGGAAAGTTTGTGGATTTCGTTCATAGATATCTTGAGCCAATTTCACTTTTTCATTTAGCAAAAGTTCAGGTTCATTTCGTTGCTGTGATTTAAATACGATTTTAGAATTTGTACTTAAGTATTCAAAAATTTCAATTATTTCGTTGGGTATGTTTGATGATCTCCTTGGATTTTGATAGATTTCGTACGAAGCGTTTTGGTCATTTTCATCATCGACTTTTGTAATTGAAGGTGACATTGTATTGTCTTTAACAGGGTTTAATTTGGGCCTTCCAGTAGATTTAGTTTTAGTTTTTTTATACTTTTTCGTCAGCTGTTTCTTATGTTCTACTGTTATACAGTCTTCTTCTTCTCCTCTTATTCAGCAAATCAACTACGGAAAAATCGTTGAATATCGTACCCAGAGAAAATGAAAACAAAATGTATCAGACTAGAGTAAGGATCTGATTTCTAATATGTAGTGATGAGTTTTACCTGAGGAAAATGATTGTAAGACAGATTTACTGTCTGACACTATAAGGTATTTCTTTTGAGACTGAGAATTCACTAAGCGGATGGCTTCTAAGAGCGCAAGACATTCACCCGAAAATATAGTGCTACATGCGTGATTTGGGAAGCAGGCTTCTGGGGTGGGTTAAAATCTGTGTTGGCCAAGTTCGAGTAGCTGTGTTGTACGTCTTCTTAAGTAACTGTCGATGTTCTCGCTGGTAAGAACCCAATTACCGGTCGAAAATATTAAGAACCAAATGGAATTTTGATTAAGCTATGTACATCAGTTCTTCGAATTTTGAAATTATTAATTTTGGCAGAAGAAGTTTTCAGTCACGAATCAAGCTTGACCAACTAGTTGTGTTTTATAAAATAGTTGTTAATAGAGTTAGACTAACCTAGAATTCAGATGAAGGATAAAGATAAGCGAAAGTGGAAGGCCTCGAACTCGGAAGTAAGTTCTACCTAAAGTAATTCAAATCGAACGAGCCTCAATCGATTGAACAAATCGAAGCCAACGGGCGACACGAGATTATGCGCGTATGTGTAGTACGCGCAAAAATTAGGGTTGCAGAATGCTGTGAATAGAATGACCACACAAACCTTAAGTTACGAGGAAAGATTCGTTAACACAGAGATTGAACACATTCTAGAACACGATTCAGCCAGTGAAGATTTTATGGGTTTTTCCGATTCAGAAAACATACAGACTGAGCAACAGACTGAGGAACGGACGGACGTACAAACTGAGGGACAAAGAGATGCACAACCATTTTCCCAAAAGAGGTACAATTTTAGAAACAAAAGGCGGATAACCGAGAAGGGGCCGTCAACATCGGCGGCGGCAGAACAAAGAAGGAAGAATCGACGCATTGAACCCGTCGTAAACCCAGAAAGGAAGGAAGCGGAAAAAGGCGAAAGACTGGTACCGGATATTGAGGCGCTGGAAATTGACTTCTCGCGACAAGATCGTGCAACTGCATTTCGATGAAGTGTTCACCGACCTTACATCAGCGTACTGTAGAAGGGAAGATAAGCTGTATGGATGCGTCCAGCATTAGTAGACTGCAGTTCAGATCGTTTCGACATTTTTCCGAATTCTTGTTTAATATGAAAAACACAGGTATCACATTCGTTTAAATTGACCACAGCATTGCACACCCATTACGCTTACGCGCCTTACAAGCCCCTAGGTCTTTGGATTGTCCTAAAATCATTACTTTTTGCGCCACATCAATTGTAAGACAAGCCACGTCGCCATTTTCAGCTCGATTATCGAAAACTTTCGGATTTAGAATAGCAATGCAAGCGCCCTCAGCCGTTTGCTAGAGTTCCTTATGAGCGCCTTTGAAAAGAAATAATGATATGGTTTTAATATCTCCCTTTAAATCGGAAAGGCGCCAAATCAAATAGGGTTGCTGCTTTTTAGTCATTTTAACTGGGTTTTTATGTATGATCACACCGGCAATTACCCAATCTTGAGAAAGATCTCCACGTTGAGTATGAAAAGCTACGCTAGCAAATGATATGGCTTTACGACCCTCCATACGTTCTCCCAATATTTTGATTTCGGGTCTTTCGGTATTACTACTGTGGGTGGGATAATTTATATTAAAGAGAAAAATGCTTTATCAGTGGAACGATCACCGGAAGCAATCTACTTGTAAGTCGTCTTCTAGGATGTGTTGTTAAAAAAATTACTTATAATTATCATCACCAACTTATAGTCTGAATGTATCCTGGCACGATACCCATCAGCGGTCATTCGTTATTAATGTCCATTTGCTGGAAGGGCGTTCAGAGAATACTACCTGCGAACATCGCCTCAAGTCACGATCACAACCTTGTTTGAGCACAAGGTTAAGGTTAAGGTCAAAGCAATGCGTTAAATATTGCGATTTAGTAACCAATGGCGGTGCCAGTGCATGGCGTGGCTCGAATGTTGCTTTTTTTAGCCGAAACTGTGCTTCTTGTGTACCTGATCCTCAATTTTGTCCTGACAATATCTGCGATCCTCTAGAAGAATTAAATAACTTTGCATGTCCGCAAGATTGCATAGCAGGTAATAGAATAATGGGACCACGTTCTATCAACGATAACAAGCGCGGTATATTATCTGACTCGGGTACATGCACTTGTGAAGATAATGGAAAATGTTTCTGCGCCCCAATGGACGAGGATGAGCCCCGACCTAAGCGCAAACGCAAGAATGAACCAAAAAATGGAATCAGGCTCCGAAAAATTGGAAAGTGATTTACAACGCGACAGTTTTCAAATGGACAGCAATACTGCTGCAGTAATAGAGGAAAAGAGTCCAATACAAGAAATCCTTAGCATGGCCGGCCTGGAATGTGATAAGTCCTGTGTAATTGTAGCTATCATTGCTCCTATGGTTTTTATATTTCTGCTTGCTACTGTGCTCTTAACAAAGCATAAACATGCTAAGCGCTCTTTACATAAACAATCTCCGGCAAATAGTAAAAAAGGTGGAAAGCGGTCATCTAACGGGGATGATTGCGATATGCGTAACGGTGATCTTCCATTAATGCAGCTCGATAATGATTTTAAATTCGAAGCAACAACGATTGATGCCAAATGGGAATATCCTCGGGATTCTCTAATACTGGACACTGTTCTTGACGAAGGAGAGTTCGGTAAAGTTATGAAGGGCTACGCTACAGATATAGACGGAAAATTGGGTGTCACAACCGTAGGTTTCTAAACATTTGGATATGTTTTTTACTTAAATTTATATTATTCGATTTAACAGTGATTACAATTAGATTTTTACATTTTGTAGCTATGAAGATGCTGAAACAAGGCGCAAATTCTGTCGAGTATATGGCTTTAATGTCCGAATTTCAATTACTGCAAGAAGTTTCGCATCCAAATGTCATAAAATTGCTGGGTGCTTGCACCAAGGACGATAGTCCAATGATTATTATCGAATATGCTCGATACGGTTCGTTGCGCAGTTATTTAAGACTAAGCAGAAAAATTGAACAGTGTGGTGTCGACTTTACCGACGGTATAGAACCAATCACCGAATGTGATATTTTATCGTTTGCTTTTCAAATCTGCAAAGGCATGACATATTTGACCGAGATTAAGGTAAGTAATAGAGCAACCTTTGTTGCTCATAAGTTAATTAGAATCTAAAATCGTATTGCAGTTGGTTCATCGAGACTTAGCGGCTCGTAATGTGCTCTTGGCTGAGAATAAAATTTGCAAAATATCCGATTTTGGCTTAACTCGAGATGTTTACGAAGATGATGCCTATCTAAAACGGTCACGTGATCGCGTACCAGTTAAAGTAAGTCAAATAACTGAACTCGATAATGATGAAATTTAATCCTACAAACGAGGTGAGGATTATTCGAAACTTCTCCCTTCCTCTGGGCTAAGTACTTGATTGTATTTCAATTCCCCAATTAGTTACAGAGAGCGAATTTATGTATTGTTACGACCTTAACTAAGGCCCGTATCCAATGGCAGGCTCACGCATTTAGCACTTGTGACGATTTCACAGGCACATAGAGAAAGTTTGATAGGATCCGTATTATCGTAAAGTTTTCAATAAGCGCTCAAAAATATCGAAACAATATGAATCTGTCAAGCTCTCAAGCGCAGCAGTCAATTCTCTGGTTCTTATGGAAGCTCTTTCCTTTAGGACGATTCCATTACCATGAAAAGCAGGGCCAGATACAACATATATATATATATATATTCTTGCCGTTCAGCTACGACCCTTGTAATATTGACTGAAGGAACTTAAGAAAGTTTATTTAATAATCACTGCAACACAAATGCGGAAAGTGCAGCGATCAAATTATAAAATTTATTTGAGATATGATGGCGGAAAATCGGATCTAATGTATTGAATCGATTAAGAAAATATCTTTATAAAAAAACCAAAAGAAAATTACATTTGATCGTTGCCGAAAAGAAGATATTCATGCCTCATAACACGAAGTGGGCGCAGCTGATTTTTTTTATTTTCAACATAAAAGTCCTTGTCACATAGACGTGTGGGCGTGTCCTGTGAAAAGCTTAGATCCCTCCCGAATTCTTTTCCAAATTTGTAGCCGATATATTCAATTCCGCTAACTCGGAATGAATACTATACACACAGTTGTGCATGTTTAGGTTCATTCTAAAATTGGTATAAATTGTGGAGATTAAGAAGCTTACAATCGCTGAAGTCACGCACAAAGCACTATAAAAATGGAATGGATATTTTTCGACGTCTGAAACGTTGCTATCGTCGTTAACCTAAGTTGCAATGAATCAATAAATTAAATATATATTTACAAATTAGAATTTTTTATTACTTTTCTTAAAGCGAATCCTTAAAAAAAAAAGATTGATTTCTTGTCGGGAAATTAATTTTTTTTTTTTACAGAAGAAAGAAAATGTGAGTAACGCTGTTTGATGGATAAACTAATAAAGAAACGAAGAAAACAGGTCTTGTTTTTAGCATTATAAAAAGAATTCTACCTCGGCCTACCGCGTCCTCGTAGAAAGCCGCGTCCACGACCACGTAAAATTTTACTATTAGCAGGAGGACTTTTGGGACGTAAGGACTCTATACGACTGGTACATCCAGTTGCAGGAGCCTCCGCAAAATAGGTTTGATAAAGTTCAGCGTTAAAATTGGAGTTTGTAAGTTCCGGACCGACTGTTAGCCAACCAGGCCTTATGCTTGAATCGCGTCCAAACAGATGCATACGACGACGCCCCAAACAGAAATGTTCGATAATGTGAAAAATTTCGATGGGTTTTTCGAAGGAACCAAATTCGTCTTCTTCCGATATTATTAAATCAATATCAACATTGGCGTGTATAAAATCACCATCAGTTGAACGTCTAACCGTGCCTTTAATACCCATCAGGCAGTGCTCCTTGGTACGCTGGAAAACGGCTTTTGGTTCTAATTGTTTAGAGTGACCGGGTTTGTTAATATTCGTGCGTATCCAACAAATATCTTCACAGCGCCTGAAACCCCACTTTTTCAGACAGTTGCGTCCCATGTCCAGACCCTCTGAAGAACCACACCATAGGAAGACAAAAGAACGGTGTGCTGCTACCTCTCCTACATCCAGATCTAAAAATAACGAAAACCAAGTAGAGCTATACTTTTTCTATTAAAATATAATTTAGACGTACTTAGTATTTCGTCCCAATTCCAAAAAACTCGCGGAGCGCCTCCTACTGTAGCTACTGAAGGCGCTGCCCGTGAATACTCTTCTAACGGTGGTTCGATAAGTATAACATCAAATTTGGTGCCCAGAGCTTTCAAATCCAATACTTTTAAATCGGCTTTTAAGTACATGGGAGCCGAGGCGGTGTCTTGTATTAGTTTATCCTTGAGTCGTATTAGTTCACGTAATTTCGGGTACTCTTCGAAACGATCAGCTAAACCGACATCACGTATGAAATTCTGTGGCCGTTGTCCAGTGTCAACGAAATGCTGGCAGTAATCGTTATGGGGATTGGAAGATTGCGTGCCCTTTCAAAAATAAGAAGCGAATTTAAAGTTTGAAAAGAACTCTTTGCTATGCTTACTTTCAGAAACGTTGATGAGTCTCTATAAATTATCTCTCCTGGCATTTTTTTAATGGCACTTTCTTCGTCATCCTGAGTTCGTTGATTATTATGGCAGGCATTTTTAGCGAAGTTTGTGCCAAACGCATTACCGTAACTTGAACCATTACTCACTTCAGGCGCAGTACCCAAGGCAATCTTTAGTTCATCTACCGACAAACCGAGCTATAAATGTCAAAGAATGAAATAACGTAAACCTGTTCGGATGTTCGTTTGCACCATTGACTTGCCGTTTGTGCTAATAATTGTTTACGTTTGCGTGAGCGCTCTTGAAAGTTTTTCAGTACATCACTCATATTAGTGCTATAGGTAGCACTAGTTATTTTCACTTTTGACTTTTAAAATAAATATATTGTTTATTCTTACAAAGTATTAAAAAATAGACTTAAAAACCAACACAACTAAATCAATGAATGACAGATAGTATAGAAGACAAAGGGAGTTGCCAAGCTGAATTTTATTGATATTCAAATAAGAAACCAAAATAAAACGGGATATCAAATTTTATTGAAAAAAAATTAATTTCGAAAGCCAAGGTTAACATTATGAAGATAGCCAATTGTAATCTTTGCACAGACCGTCAATTTTATGACAATTGTTGCGCTATGAGGGTAAAATCGTCTCTCATCTACTTTTGGAACAACTACGATTCCGTAACATGATAAATTTGACATTTATATGTCGTTTTAAAGTTTGAAATGGCGCGTCATTAGCTTTTAAGCAATACAGGTATAAAAGCTATTGATTTGATATTAAGTGTAAATATCTAGTAGCGCTGGCTCACACAAGATAGCTCAAATTTTTAAAAGATCATCTTAAAAATTGTTCCGAGCCACTAACAGATACCTTTGCAATAAACGAAATTGGCAATTTTTTATATTAGGATCGTTCGATGAGTACTTTTTAAAGATGCAGATTTTTTATTTTTACATGTTTAATTTTTCTAGCATGTAATTGAATTACACAAATTAAAGATTCCAATCTTATTACAAAATACATAATTCAAATAAGACAATGAATATAACAAAAGCAAGCGATATATTTCTAATAAAATTTACAATATTTCTACGAATCTGTGTTGCGCGTGGTTTCGGCAATGCCGAAACCTCTATACCTATCTTTGTGCTTATCTTTGATTTGTAAACATTTGCCACTCTCAATAAGAATTTTTGCCTCTTTTATCACACTGTGCCTTATCTATTACAATATCGGAGTAATTTGCTGAACTCTCAAGAAGAAGAAGAAAAAAAGAACGAGAATTGACTGTCGGTAATGTAGGTAATCATTTTACCTATAACTTTAGATATTTTCCAAGAGTGAAAAGTTTCCTTAAATTTAAAAAAAAGTAATGAATGCATTATTAAAGTATTCGTTACTACTACTGACACTATGTGGTGGTTTTTTGATTTTGAGCGCTTTCGCTCAAGCCAAAGCAAAGGTAATAACTTTATTGATTTATCCGAAATAATATTTGGCCACGTCAATGTTTATGCCGGTGAAGAATTTCCCTTTCCTTTTAGAGTGGCTTATCGTTATCTGAAAAAGTACAAAGTCTTTTGGATATGAATGCTAAGAAGGCGTTGCTGCGATTTAATGGCCAAAAGTTTCGTGAATATGTTAAAAACAGTCCACGCAATTATTCGGTTGTTGTCATGCTTACAGCGTTGGCTCCTGCAAGACAATGTCAGATATGCAGACATGCTCATGATGAATTCAACATTGTGGCCCAGTCCTACCGCTATTCTCCGGCTTATTCAAATAAATTATTCTTTGCCATGGTTGATTTTGATGAAGGTTCCGATGTATTCCAAATGCTACGTTTAAATATGGCGCCAGTTTTTATGCATTTTCCACCTAAAGGCAAACCTAAAAGTGCTGATAGCATGGACATACATCGCATTGGTTTCGCTGCGGACGTTATTGCCAGATTTGTGGCGGAACGTACAGATATACAAATACGTGTCTTCCGCCCACCCAATTATTCGGGAGCGGTGGCTTTAATTACGTTGGTGGCTTTGGTTGGCGGTTTCTTATATATGAGACGAAATAATTTAGAATTTTTATACAACAAAAACATCTGGGGTGCTTTGGCTGTATTCTTTTGCTTTGCCATGATATCGGGTCAAATGTGGAATCATATTCGAGGACCGCCTTTAGTGCATAGGACTCAAAATGGTGGCGTGGCCTATATACATGGGTCTTCACAAGGGCAGTTGGTAGTTGAAACATACATCATTATGGGTTTAAGTAAGCGTTTTCGTGAATTTTCATAAAGAATTTTTTAGAAAAGTTTTTTTTGTATGATCGTAAAGATGCTTTGATATTTTTGGGTATGATACTACTAACGGAATCTGGAAATCAAACGGATCAACGGAAAGGACGAATTATGGGCATTATCGGTTTGGCATTGTTGGCCATATTCTTCTCGTTTCTTCTATCCGTTTTTCGTTCCAAGGCTCAAGGCTATCCTTATAGGTAAACGAAAGAACACGAAATTGCCAGCTAAAGAACCGATATTTATTATTATTACTTCTCTTTGTTTCTTTCTAGCTTCCTTTTCAAATAAATAGCAGAACATAAAATAAATAAATTTTATTTATTCGTTACAAAATTTTAAAGACTGGATTAAGTCAATAGCTAACTTAATGATGCTAATTTTTTCATCTTTTTCATAATCAAGTTTAAGAAAAAAAAAATAGATCTACATGGAATGATATACAATCTTAATCACACGAAAAAAAATAGGAGAGCAAAATCTATAATAAAAACGGTATTATAGCTTTGCGATTCTTCGGATAGTTCTTAAAATTTTCTTTATACCACTTATGAGTTAGCAAAGCGTTCACGATCTAAAGGCAAGATGAATTTTCGTTATATTCCCAAAATTGTTATTAAATAAAAGCATTTATAATACGAACCTGGTTTCCAGTAACCCATATAACAATTAATTTCCACGTGAGACTTTGTGGCAATATACCCATAATAGCGACGTACATTTGAATTTCAAAAAACATATGCGGAGAAGAAACCATTTCAAAAAGACCACCACGAGGGAGTAGATGTTGCTCCGAGTGAATTTTACCAGTTTTAGAGTCTTTCCGTAAATTGACGAATATCATATTTGTTTTCCATTGTTGAGACCAGCTAAAGTGAAACAGAGCCAAACATATATACTGGACAAGTGTAATTTTGGTGAAACTGAATGTTGAAGGTGTAGAATCTAAAAAAAGTATTCTTGAGTGAAAGATTCGCCAAAAGGTCTAAAGTGTTGTGCAAATTACCTTTCACGAAGCCCTCGGTATTTATTAACAATGCTAAAATGGAACCGAAATAATGCAAATATCCAACAATATATTGGAATAAATTCATTTTATTTTTACGGGAAAAGATTTGCACAAAATTCGTTTCATAAAAACGTCGTACACATTGCAAGGTCATTAGCAGCGTAGCTATTAAAGCCTCATTAGATTTTATTAATACTTTGCGGTCATTTTTGCCGCCGCCGATAAAATCTAAAAAGATTACCACTAGATCAGGCGCAGTACTATGCATTATCATACCTTTTAATACTAAGTAGAAAGCACAGATCGACCATCCGAAGGCAAACATATAAAAATGTGCAAACCATGATTTCGGTACCTCGAGCTTATTAGCCAGCGAATGTTCATCGCCATTACATTTATGTTTACCATAACGGAAAGTTTTTCTAATAAACGTAGGTAAAACACTTTCTACCATAATCATCAGGCTACCGAGTGCAATTATTACCACCGAAAAGCTTAAGAATAATGTGTTGATCAAATGTATATTATAATTTTCTATATACTCCTGGCAATTCATAAAGAATTTTGTTAACATTTTTATAATTTTACTTTACTATCTGTTGTGGTAAGGCGAAAGAATGTGAATTTGGTGTTCGCTTCATAGTTGGGTGAAAGTAACCAGAAATGAAAAATTACCATGTTATACGTTATCTATAAATATCAGATTGGTAATAAAGTAAATCCGGTGACACAAAATTAATTTTTATCGGCGTTAGGAATGAATTTTAATCAATTATATACAATACTCTTTTTACTTTATCCATGATTCCATGCTTGTCATTGGCAACGTGCGAAAATAAGGGAACAAGAGCATTGCAGCCCGTAGTAGTACTTTGTGACTATCAAATCAACACATTTCTTACATATCTTTTCTCTCTTGTGTTTGGATGCTTTCGATCGCTTCTTGTCATCCTACTGTGGGAAACCCTTGTTTAGTTACCATAGGTGACGTTTTTAAACATAGAGCTCATTTTGTGTGCTTTATATATGGGAAAAACATACGCTTTATTTTTAGTTATTAAATTGATTTTTAATCGTTTTCTGCAATTAGCTGAAGATTTAAATTCCAATTCTTTTTAATGTTATTAACGTTGAATTTATCTTCGCATTGGTTTTTTTTCAAACTGAGCACTTCAAATTGATTTCAATGTATTGCACCGATATATTGACACCATTATATGCGTTTTTCGGTTAAGTTCCTCATTGCTGCAACGTTTCGTTAAAATTGAGCCTAAAATAATTATTTGCTTGCTGTTGCTAATCTATAGACAATTAATATTCGATGAGAAATGAAAGAAGTTATGACATGGAGTCGTGTTTAAAACGCTTTTAATTTTATCTGTATTTGAGAAACGAAAATACTTTCATGCCACCCAAAGAAAAAAAAAGTGAAAACGAAGTAATTTACCTAAGTTCTATGAATACATCCCCGAATTAATAAATTAACGGATCTGCTTTAGTGCCCACATGCTTAGGATCATTTAATTTGGCAGCACTGGGCCTTTCAAAACTTTGTTGTGAATCTTATTTGAATTTTTGCTAAGAACCCTAAGTGTGGTAAATAATTTGTAATTGCTTTTGCTTTTACTTTAGCCAAGCTTGATCAACTGACTGCAGACTCGAACAAGAGTATTTATTTAGATACATTCACACACAGGCATTCGAGTCAATAACTCCATTGATCAATTTTACCAAGATTGAGCATTCGAGTATAAACCAATATGTCGAGAAAAATTAATATGCTGACATTTGCATGCTCGGCTAGGTTCAGCCATCTAAAAATAAGAAAGAATAACATTATAATATAGGCTAAGTTAAGCCATTTAAAAATAAGAAAGAATAGCATTATAATATGTCAACCGGTTCAAGGTTTTAATTAAAAACGAAATTTACTTTGGCACAACGGAGTTAAAGACGGGCGGAGATACCCATCCACTTCCCATGTAATACAAAATCCAATATTTATGAGTAGTAATCTATCTTCATACGGTGGTAAAATTATAAGGGCTCCCATTGCGGTTCCTTAATGCGAAAAGCAGGAATTTTTGTACCGATTCGATCCCTGCCAAATAATAGCGAAAAGACGGAGACCGCATACCGGCGCACCACATTCCAATATTGGTCGTAACTAACTTCATATACAGTCTTTTTGTAGTTTATGGGTCTTTGAATTCACGAGCTCAGCGCTTAATGAATCGCAAAGTGAATCTGGCTTTATTGATTGATTTCCTATCAAAAAGCACATCTAAATTGTAAGTATGTATCTTGCAATTTATGCGAATTTATAACGTATTGTGTTTCTATACAGTCCGTCTTGAAAACAACATTTTCTTACATTTTTTCAAGTTCAATGTTAAGGCATTTGTCGAACATTGAGTAACTAAAATGTTTACTTGAAGGGTTCTAGAACACAGTCCTAAATAGCCTTATGTTCGCTGCATACACTAACATTTTGGATGATTTAATGAAATATGAGATATCATTTATATATAGCACAAAAAGAAGTTGTCCACGGTTGCTTCCTTGAGAAATTCCTGATGTCACCTAAATTTCGTAAAACTGGAAAGAGGTAAGGAGCACTCTACAGGATCTATTGACGACGAGATGATCTAATGATGAGATGATCTGCTTCATTAGGTATAGGGAGAAGCCTATTGATTGCCTCTTAAAATTCAGTAACCTTTGTCTTTTTCGATTAACAGCCTTACTGAAAGCCATCTATGTAAAGTCCATTTGGAAGTCTCTAGAGAATGTCTTAGTGATTAGTTCACTCTATGAGATTTGTGACAGATATGTGCTCAAACAGCTGTGACAGCACGCCCAATGTCACAATGCATCTGTAGCATTCCACCCTCTTTCTATTTTCACTTCTATGAGTTGGAATGAGGAAACTACTCTCCCAGCATGATGAAAACACTCCGGTTTCTAGAGAGAGGTCAAAGATTCTCACGGCTGCCTTAAGATGAAATTCTTTCTGGGCCTGGAAGACAACTCATCTTCAATGATTTTATACCATGGCGATGGCGATGGAAATTAACAAATTTTTGGAATAAAAATCACATATAATTCATGTTGAATACTTCTGATGAAATTTTTCAACTGCGGATTCCGATTTAACTGTTAACTGCCGGTATCTTATCTTTGATTCCTAGCTTGGTTATTTCAGAAAAAGACGTTTTTGCATGATTTGAGGTCTCTAATATATAGTTGTGCGCTTCGACCTGATGTGGCATGCCTTCATGTATACTCAAATCGTGCTCTGACGAGTTTTGCAGTGTTGTTTCGTAGATTTTTAATCAGTTTTTGAAATCAAATATTTTCGCTTTGTTTTCGAGAAACAAATGTGGAAACAGACGTCACGTTGGGAACTATAGAGTTGTGTGCCTTATCTAAATTGTTTGAGAGGACTGTTACGCATCATTTGGCTTGTGCTATCAAGTCTTACATTTCTCCATTCCAGCTTTCTGAAAGGACGAACAACTATTGTGAATTTGTTGGAGTTTACTTGTTATGTTTTCAAGGCTTTTTCTAGTGGCTCTAGCACCGATTTCGTATACACTGATTTTAGTAAAGCGTTTGCCTTAGTTTACCATATGTTATTAATCCTCAAACTTCAAGCCTTTGGCTTCTCTTTCTACTTAGTGAAATGGATCTCCAATCATTTAGGGTTCCGTTTAATTTCATCACAACGAGTGAACTTCCCGTGGCGTCTGACGGCCCTCACAGCACTTAAGATCCTTTTTATATAATTTATACATTCATGGTCTTCCCTCGGTAATTAAAACTAGCCAGATCTTAACGTAAGGTGACGATATTAAACTGTTTCCTTGCTGCTTCCCTTTGCAATCGCAATCGTACCAGCTTTAAACTGCCATAAATAATTTGGTTAGATGGCGCTCGTTAAATTTAAAGAAATTAAAACTAAAAAAATGCAAGAAGCTTCCTTGCTTAAGAAGGAAGTCATTCAGCACTGAATATTACATTGACTCAGACAAGTTGGAAAACGTTGGTTCGTTCACCGACTTGGGAGTTCCATTTGACCAAAGTGTTTACGTTTTAATTTGCATATGGAGCTCTCTCTAAGTGAAGCTATGTCCGCGCTGGTTTCATTAAGAGGTGGCACAAAGAGCTGAAGGATCAAGGGTTAAGTTTAATTTGTTACTCTGTACAGCGATAAGTCATTACTGAGTCCTCTCATAATATGAAAGACAAAATTTTCCTTATTTTTTAAATGACCCATTGTGAGAACATTGTGACAAGAGCAGTATACAAACAGTAGACAAATCATGAAGTAAAAACTTTCTCCGTAAGAATTTAGGAAAATCTCCATAATATTTGTAGTTAATAATAAACTTTGCGTGATGCTTAACTTCATGGTACTGCTTGTGGTGGTGTCGGTGGTTGAGATGTGACATATAGCGGTGTAGATCTAATTGATGGTACCGTTAGCAGTGGAGATGGCATTTGAAATGCTTGGTACATGTACGACGGCATAGGTGGATTGCAGAAACTTAGAACAACATCTATGTCTCCCTCTCTCTCTGTACCCCTTGATTTCAATGCGCTAGTTGGTTACATGCTTTTTCCTTTTTTTTCTTTCTTGTTTATTCATACATGAATTATTATTTTGTTTATTTTTTTTTCTTTTAATTCTTCTTGGATACTTGGAATTTTTTTTTTTAATATTAATTAGAGTAAGATTTACATCTGAGAATCAATCAATTGAGTTTGGCTGTTCATTTATTTTAGCTGAGCTTCATGGGTAACTAAACAAATAAACAAATTTTCTCATTATTATTTTCTCAAATTTTCTCGTACAGATAGACTGTCATAGAGTCATTGTCATAAGCGTAATAATTGCAAAGGAGTCTGGATCTGTACATTAATTGGCGAGAGCCGCCTTTTTGAGCTTAGGAATTTGCAAAAAAATATTTTGGGTTCGACGAAAGTGAGCATTTCACCCTCAAAAGATAGGTGTTGGAACACAGGCGATTAACGAACCCGGATCCGTTTTGAAGATTTAAAATAAATTTCAAAGGCGCAAAGAGCGGTTTGAACATGATTGTTCAGCTTTAAAAATCAAAACGGGGCCAAAATCAATCAAACTCTGCCTCATTTTTTTTTGTTTAATGAAAAAAGTCTGAACGGCGCACCTGAATAGTTCGAAGAATAGCCTTAAATCTGCTTGCTGTATATATAACTATATACAACTATTTAAAGAAGAATACGGATAGCGAAAGAGGATATATGTTATCTTCATCTTATCGGGCCTATAAAGTTTCGAATTAAAATTACTCAGAGAATATTGTTTATTTTCTTTTATTTGTTATGTAATATTGTAGATCATAGCTTTTTTTCGTTTACAACAATATATAAGATATGGTTCCCACTAAAGGTTTTCATGCATGTACGATTCAACTATTTCTACGAAAAACTTGTTCTTATTAAAGCAGATAGATAGATAGTCCAGCAGTGGCTGATTTTAGCAGTACAAAATGCGGGGAGAAGTTGTTTGTCAAATATCAACGCCGCTGCGCGTAACAGAACCGCCTTTATATGGCGGCGGTTTAGGACGCAAGTAAGCGTTGGCTGGGTTTTCCAAATGATACAAACTATTCGGACTGTAAAAAAATTTAACTTTATTACCAACAAATTAGATATTATAAGAAATTATAAGAAAATTACATTCGTTTGTAAGCGAATGTGCGTACCCATCATCTAAAATGTTCTTGACTTTCTATTAAAAATGTGTTTCTCAGATTGGGCTGGTTCTATCCTAAAGTTTCAGATGACTCTAATTTATCTCTAGTTACTATATAGTCTTAGCTAAATGGTGAAAATACAACACACTTAACGACCTTTTTTTTTTAGAGATTGTTAAGCTAGTTTGTCGTTCAAGTACTATCTTCGCCATTTCGCTAAGAAATTGTGCTGAAATGTACGGGCCAGAGCTCTTTTGAATACTACGAGTTGGTTAAACGCGATTTGACGAAAAGCTCTGCTGCAAATTTTCAAGTGCTGTCGTTAATGACACAGCAGTTGAGTCTAAACAGTAAAAAATGATGGCGAAGACTTGCAGTTCTTTAATAAAGAAAGCGATGCTAAATATCAACGACTTCAAGTTGGTATTCTTCATTTGAAACAAGCAGAAGGACGTAGTGTGTTTACCAGCTTCTCAGCTGCACGATAACCGTCAGTAAGTTAAGTTTCCGACAAGAAATATTAAGATTTAGAGGAGCACAAAAGGAACAGAAAAGGGGCACAATATGGCAGTTAGTTTACTTAGTATTGTGACAATGCTCGTTCCTTTATTGAAAATCGGACAGAAAAGCGGTTTTATGTTTGCCGCGCTGCCTTGTATAATTACTCATTAGACAAGCGTTATTTGTTGCGTGCTTGCAAAAATTTTGGTCAGCGACATGAATGAGCGATGAAAAGTAGGTCTATTACGAAAATCCCATGGGTTAGTCTACGAGAGCAGTTCACATCGATACCGATCGAAGCACGATCTTGATGGCCATAAAATTTTGCCGTGCATATGGTTGTTTGGCCTCGGCACATTCATTTGATGCTTACGACGGCCCTCTCTTTTTATCACTACCCTAGGAAATGAAATACAACATAGATGAGGATTCTTGTTGGTATTAGGCCATTAATAAAGTTCACTTGGGTCACTGTATTTTGTACGAATTCCAAGATGGAAGAGATGCTACAGAAGCGTGTGGAAATTTACTGAAAGTGTTTGGCGAAAGTATAGTTTCGGATAGAACAAGCAAAAGACGATAAGCAATGCTTTGGGTGATCATCTTTTATCGCCTTTGAACGATACTGACAAGGTCAGCTTAAAACAAACGTCTGCTTAGACAACATCGGAGACTGCAGAAAGGCTTGATGCAGCTTAACAAACCACTTCGAAGCATATTTGGAACAATAATCAATTCCTCACAATAAAGTCCTACTGTTATCCATATATTTCCTGAAAGTAACATATCCTAATATAGCCGATTTTACGTTTTAGAGAAACCTGCAAATAGAAAACGGACAACGGAACAGAAGTGGGGAAACGGTTATACGTCCAAGTTTTGATGATGGATTTTGAGATATTTGTTTTTTATTGAATTGATTGAACGCATTTTCATATTTTTTGTAAAGATAGACCTTTGAGAACGTAGGCTGGTATTGTCCAACAAGCAATTTGGATCCTTTAAGCTTTTTAAGGTGGTGACAGGTTGTGAGTTCGTATCCGAATATTGTACCATTTGTACTGTTGACGACGTAGTTGGGTAAGAAGATCCCTTATAACTGCATTATTGAGGAGAGAAAAGATAAAATGATTATTGTTTTGATGAAACAATCATTGAGAAAAGTCAAATAATATAGAGAAGAATGTAAAATAAAATAAAAATATATCACCTTTCGTCGTCATTTTCAGAGTTTTGCTTGTTACTAGTACATTCTTCGTCACATATATGAAATATGTTATTAAAGAATAATTCAGAACTGACGTCCGTTCTAGAAAAACAAACATAAATAAACAGGTAATAATGTAAAAAAACTAAATAAAATTACATTTTTCTAAAAAGAAAATGAAATTAAGTTAAAACGTTACAGTCCAGCATATAGACCCATTGGTCGTCGTCATCTAAAGAGGTACTACTTTGCAAGGAAGCACTTATAAGAAGACGAGTCGCGAAAGACAGTCTTAGCAAATTTATATATAGATTAAACAACCAATTCTATCAATTTTAATCATCACATGACTACGACTTAGATGTTGTTACCAAATAAGAGAACATTTCTGACAAAAATGTTTAGCTATGGGCAAGGATTCATGAAATGGTCCCATACTATCCAAGATTTCGCAGGTTGTACAACAAACCGCCCAATTAGGCTTCTCCGTCATGTACCTCCTCTATATGGTGCGGCTTAAGAAATAGATCTATGTGGTCCTCATTCCCTTTGATCAATTTACTGTACAATTTTTGTAAGAACCCTTATATTGCTTGGTATCTAAAAAATAGACCTACGCTGTTCAAATTTAGTAAAGTTAATCTTTACATCAAATTATTCTTATGCACGAATTTTTATTAAGAAGTATTGAAAATTCGGCATTTTTCCTACAAAAGGATCCACGGTCCACAGGAATGGGTATGGAGCAAGTGGTTCAAACAGTTCCATCATCCGATGCAAAATTCCCAAAGCACTACTATTAAGCCCTATCAAGGGTGCATTTTATACAAGGTCAAGTTCGATGGTTAATATAAATACGAATCTTTGTTGGTATGAATGGTAAATAATTTTACGATTTTCTGATTTGTAAGAATCGTAATATTCAAACATTTGCAGGCGGGTTACTCAATTGTAACAAACCTCATCGAAACCCTTTGCAAATTGCTTAAACAGCTTTTGGTATCTTTGGTTTGACTTTTGGAATCCCACAGCGGATTGTACTTTTTTTCTGCGATCAATGTATCCGTAGCATCGTTTATCAAAACTGATTGATAGTTTTTGGATAATGGACGCTTTTGGAGTCTTGCAACGAAAGTGCTGAACTTAGAAGAACAGCATAAATAAATAAACAAAAAATAAGTAAAAACGCTACGGTGAGCCACGGCCTCCCATTAAATATCTTATACCAATTTTCCACGTATTGGCTTTTCAAAATAAACCTTCGCATGGGAAGTGGTCGAAAAAGAGGTTTAGCCCGATTATTATTTCCAATAGATCAAAGCAAATCATTGTACCATATTTCATTAAAATATCTCAAAAATATCACCAAAAAGCAGGACGGACGGACAGACAAACTTTAATTGGTTCAGGATGTGATTTCGAATCGATCGCTGTAATAAAAGATGGTTCTGTCTTGAGTCCTTCTGGGTGTGCAAACTGCACAAACTTAATATATTAATATATTCTTGTACCATAAAGCGGTGTAGGGTATAACAAGAGACAAAAAGTAAAAGCAATGGAAACTTTTCATTATTACAAACCTTCTATGAACTTACAATTTTTCGTGTTTGAAACATAAACTAGCCGTTAAAATGCCGCAGAGAATTCCAAAAATCACTGTTGGTATCGCAAATGCGAAAGCAAACTCATCTATATAATTGCGGCTGGGCATTTCGTCGCGATGCATGCCCTGCCAACGTCCTCCTTCACGACGTTTTAACGTGCTCATTTCCAAGGAATTTGTTCCGACGCTCAGCTTGTTACCATCGTGATTATGATGTAACACTTCGGGGCTCATGTCGGTGCCAACGATTCGAAAAGCACACCAATCCAATTTGAAACCAGAATTTTCAAAGAGCTTTTGCACTGATGTACGTTTGTAAGTGCAAGAAGGTAATTTATAAAGAGGACGCACCTCCTCCTGTAAATCCTTAAGACGTTCGGAGAATTTCGCAAAGCTGCCTAAATGGACAACAACTCTATACAAGAAAGAAAGATTAATAAACAGATTAGATGATTAGTTCTTTTGATAGATTTTTCAATATGACAAAAATCACCCTTCGTGTTGCTGTGGCCGTAAAGGTAAACGGCCTCCCATATTTACCGCTGACTCCATAAATACTAAGCTCAAATCGCTTTCGCTTTCCGGCCATAAGTCTTTCCGGTATATATTACGCAAGTTTTCTATACGCCCAGGATCCATAAGGTGCACCCAATTCAAATTGTCGATTTTCATTTGTATTATATTAGGAGCGTGAATTTTACGCGCCACCTTAATTGTTAATTCGGTGTTGCGGGTTTCGTAGTTTTTCTTATTCAGTGCCACTATATCGAGAGTAATCGATTTTCCTAATAATTGCTCAGGTGGTGTTCCGTATAAAAATCCCGCATGATATTCGTTACTGTACATGTAACGCATCCACGACGGCAAATCTGGATACGATTTCAATGAGGGCGTATATCGAAATTGTTCATTGATGACTTGATGGGACCAGTCGAATATGTTTGGTTCAATTTTAAATGTATATAGTTCGCCTACAGCAGCCTGATCTAATAATTCGCCTCTTACCACCAATATATACATCAACAAAAGCCAAAAAGTATTCATTTCAGTAAAGTCGAAAGATATGGCCGAGAGACATTAACTTCAAATCGAAAAATATTGTTTTCTTCTAAAGGATTTAAGAAAACTTTTTAATATAAATATAATTTTAATATTTCATTCACTTTCTTATTCTTATATGCTAAACTAGTTCTCCATAGACTGCCATGAAAAGTTCTGTATATAGGAAAATACTTTTTTTTTTTTTTTTTTTTAAGAGAGTTTCGGAAAATGAGAGCGCATTTCATTATTTTACGCAGTGGGAGCAGTGGGTGAGGAAAGGCTGTCCGACACTCAGCTATGGGGGAGGGGATGGAGGAAGGTTTAATAAATATATACATATATAAGAACAACAAAGCATGTATTTTGGGACGGGCTCTTTAAATTACTCTCATATGCAGCCAACCTCGTGTCTATAGCTATTAATTGTTAGTTTGTAAAGCGTTCAAAAAAATAAGGGGATAATAAGAGGCGAATTTGAAGTTTTATGTAAACGTCAAATGATGTAAAATATTCGGCGAAATAAGGTGAAATGAAATAATTTCTCATATTTCATAAAATTTCATATTCTCACCAAACAACAGACCTTACAAAAAAAAAAAATACATCTCCTTAAGTTTCAAAATGAATTTAATTAAAATGAACAAAAAATAGAAAGAAAAAAATTCAGTTTAAATTGAACGAGAGTTCTCTTTCGAATATAATAATTCTAGTATTGTGTGAGGCTATAAATTTCATTGCAATCACTAAAATGGAAATGCTCAATTTGCGGGTTATTTATATATTTTTGAAGGGACATCAGATCGACCATGAAACGTGGGAAATGACCGGGACGCGATTTCCGAAGAAATCAATCAGGAAATGTTTTCTCTCCGTTTTCATCTTTAACAGCTACCACTTCCTCCTCATTTCAATGACTGTTAACTGAATCGTCATCAGAATTTGAAGAGTGTTCTTCATCCTCTTTACTTTCCAAATCGTCAATTTCGTTTCTTTGTTCTTCATCTGAAGTTTCTTCTTCCTTTGCTTCTTGTTTTTCTTCTAAAGTTTCTTTTTCGTACACCCCCGCGGATTCACTTTCAATTCTTTCTGTTGAATTTCATTATCAGTTAGACGATTTTTGAAATGATTTTTAAAAAAGTGTAATGAGCAACAAAGCTCATTAGAATAGCCGGAGGTAGTTGGTTCCCCGTTAAAAAAAACGGAAAAATGGGGTACAATTATTCTACCATAATAAGACAGCAACTTGAAATAACGCTTTGTAAACGATTTAAACGAAATGATGTGGATAAATGCACGGTTACGCCTTTATTTAAAATCTAGAATTTAAAAATTTTTTTGCCTAAAACGAAGATAATAATAAAATATTAACAACGTAATTACATAGAAAAATTTATTTTATTAAAATTTATTTTATTATTATCATTTCATTCACAAGACTTAGACGTGAACAAAATATTCATAAGTAAAAAATCTGTTAAATGCAGCTTTTTAAGTAAAAAATCTGTTAAATGCAGCTTAATAAGTGAAAAAATCTGTTTTAAACATATTCATTGCCGTCGGCATTTCATTGCAAAATGAAAAATTAAAATTGCCATCTATTTTTTATTCGTATTCTATTACTGCAGTTTAAAGGTAAGTTCTATTTTTTAAAAAAGTAATTTTTCTTCAGTCAATTGTCACGAGTTCGCTTCGGATTCGCTCGATCTCCAAAAAATAATTACAAAGAAATACCCCGCCGAAACTACCGGCACCAAGAACCTTTATGGGCTTGAGTTCGTTATCACCTAAATCCATGTTTTGCATTTTAAGAAATTTTCTGACTTTCAATTACACAATAAAGATCAACCCGACATCTTATTGACAAAATGTGCTTATGTAACTTATTAACAAAAATGTGCAAAAAGAACTAATCATTATTATCATCATTATTAGCTTTAATTGTGTTTTCATGGGCGGGGAAATTTATGGTCTGGGATATTTTTGATGGTCGGAGATGTTTGAAATTTCATTCTATAGAGTCAATTTATAGTTTCCGCTAAATAAAATTCTTTTGACGCTACCTTAGAATTTATTCTCTGGCTAAATTTATAATAATAATAATAATTTTACAAGTTCGCCTAAAAGGGTACCGCCATAATTTTTTTTTATTATCAACTTAAACAAAACAGTAGCTACATTTTCTGCTAATTTACAGAAAGAACGTAATACTCTACGCTATTTACAGAGCGAACTTATTACTCTATGCTAATTTACAGAAAGAACGTAATACTCTGTGCTATTTACAGAAAGAACGTAATACTCTATGCTAATTTACAGAAAGAACGTAATAGTCTATGCTAATTTGCAAAGCCGTCCCCAATTTGTTCCAAATTCTCTGCTAATCAATAAAAAACATCTGTTGAAATTCTATACAAATAGCACTTACAGGGCAAATGTAAACAAAAATTAGAAAATTTCTTTTTGACAGAAAAGAAACGGATTGAATCAAAACGTTTCGACACAGGCATGTTAACATATTCGCCTTCCATTACGCTGAAGATGGAAAGTGTAAAATCTATTTAATTACGCACACAGCGCAACAGTATTTATATATTTTTAGACGCCTATATCTTTTAAGTGCACTTTTCAGAACATCAATAGCTCTTTTTATTCCTTTAAATAATTAAACAATCATTGCAATAAGATGATTGTAGGCGTAGTAAAATTTGCGATGGTTGAAAAAGCTGGGATATATGAACTTAATTGTATAACAGAGCGCGGTTACCCGAAATTTCAAATGGGATTTCTCGAAACACAACGCTTTCAAAGCAGCAAGCAGCATAAGACCTTAAGATAAGGTCTTCTGCTCTTCGGATTGATAAGTCCCAAGTAGTAAACGGAACGAGGAACCGCAAAATGAGCAAAGAATCTGAATTAAAATCTCGGAAATCAGTTTTCAATAAAGCCCATAGCCTTAGAATGTTAGAGCTGGAAGTTATTTAGTTATAAGAAAGCACAATTTTGTAACTAAATGATCTCAAAACGTAGCTTTTTATTTGTTGCGGAAATCTTGTTTATTTCAATGACCACATATACGACGATGACAGCTTAGGCCAAAATGTCACTCACTTATTCTACATTTATTTACTGAATGCTGTTTAAAAGAATTCTCTAAAAAATAAATACGTGGCTCATTTTAAATATTATAAAAAGTTCGAGACAAGAAATAAAACCAGGTTAAGTACCAGGAATATGTCTTTATTGTGCATATTATTTACGGGCTTAGCCATTGTAATAGCGTTTATTTTAGTGGTAAGTAAACCAAATTTACCGGCACGGGGTTCTTAAATAAATTATTTCAGGTGTCGCAAACAATTTATATATATAAAATAGCTCTTTGTAGTGCAAAGACTTGTAACCACTCCATTACCAATTATAAAAAGGCATAAAAAGGAACAACGTTACTTTGATCCTGTCATCGTCAGCGATGCAGAATTTCCAAGCATAGAAGAGGAACCATCCTTGGATTTAAGTGTTATTATACCGGCCTTTAATGAGGAGAAACGCCGTAAGCCAAAAAGGGAAAAGTAAAAATTAACTCTTAATTTGACATATTACCCTTCCTTATCCTAGTGCCAATTATGCTCGATGAATGCTTGGAATTTCTTGAGGAAAAATCTGAAGAAAGTTCTTTTACATACGAAGTAATTGTCGTAAGTGACGGTAGTTCGGATGGCACCATTTCAGTGGCATTACAATACAGCGAACGTCACACGACTGACAAGTTTAGGGTGATGGAATTGATTGAGAATCGTGGCAAAGGTGGAGCGGTACGTATGGTAAGTTTCCATTTTATAAAGCTCCGAAAACAATTAAAGAATAAAGAAATTCTCTCATTTAAGGGCATGTTAAGTGCTCGTGGTCGTCATTTACTTTTCGCTGACGCAGACGGTGCTACAAAGTTTTCAGATTATGGTAAACTGGATGTCACTCTCAGAGATATAACAAAAAACTGGCAAGAAGATGCTATTGTGATTGGTTCACGTGCTCACTTAGAGGAAGAAGCCATAGCCTCTAGAAGTTTGTTTCGGTAAGGACAAAGGTGTATGTTGAAGTCCGCCATCAAAATAAAAAATAATTGTATTTTTCAGAACTTTTCTAATGTATGGTTTTCATTTTCTGGTATGGCTTTTTGCTGTTCGTTCAGTCAGAGACACTCAATGCGGCTTTAAATTACTTACTAGACCGGCAGCCCGAAAGTTATTTAATATTTTACATGTAGAAAGATGGTATTATTCTTCTTTTCAAATTTGAACGAATTTTACACTTATGATAGTTTTTATCTTTGCTGTTTTATGCCTGGATTGCGTCGAGGACGATGTATTTGTTATCCGACTACAAGGCATATTTTTATTTACAGCGTTAATATAAATTTGAAAAGCAAAAAAGTTTTTTTGAGTTAAATTTTCATGAGTGTAGAACGCAAGATTAACTAGCTTTACTATGCTAACCTTTCGTTTAAATTTTCACTTGAATTAAATTTGCAGGGCTTTCGATGTTGAACTGTTATACATAGCGGAACGTTTGAATATACCTATCCGGGAAGTTGCGGTGAATTGGAAAGAAATTGAAGGTTCCAAATTGACTCCGTTCTGGTCTTGGTTGCAAATGGGCGTCGATTTGTTTTTGATATGGTTTCGCTACACCATCGGTGCGTGGCGAGTTGACCTGAAACCACATAGAAATTGAATCGCAGAGAAAAAGTGAAGAGCATATTTTATCATTGCTTATTATCTAATATTCTTTTTAAGTTTTCTTTGTATCACTTAAGCCTAAAATAATTTTTTAATCTCTTTTATGATTATGTTTTTACTGTTTAAACGGAATAGCTTTTACAATTGAAATAGCACATTTTTGCATTCGCATTTAATAGAATTTAAAAATGTATATTAAAGTAAAGACAAAATATTTTTTGAAAACTAAAAAAATTAAGTGTGGTAGCAGCTTTCTTAAAGAAACATAAGTGCAAAACGTAACAAAGGTTTCTGTATTTTCACAGTTAGGAGTTTCTCTGTGTTTACTATTAACCGCCATAAATCAAAAGTATTTTCCTTATGTGTTTCTCCGCTATTAATTTAAGTAATATTTAAAATTTTTTTTATACCCCTCTATTCGTAAAAAGTCACTTATTTTAGATCACATGCTTTTAACTAAGAATTTGTTTACGTGCTTGTAAAATAAATACTTATTTCAACTAAACGGCATTTTTCTTTATTATATTCTACATCACTTATGGTACAAGGGATTTTAAATTTATGTGGACGTATGTAACACCTAGAAGCGCACCTTCTATTATGTCGATCGATTCAGAATTATTTTCTTAATCGATGTAAGCCTGTCTGTCTATCTAATGTCTGTACATGTACTTTTGTGTTGAATCTGAGTATGGTATAGGACATGTAAAGTTTGGACGTTTCGAACTTTTTACTTATGTTGCATTAAAACGTTTTAAACCGCTCCTTCTCCCATTAATAATTGTGTCAAATTATTCTTCCCTCATAAACTTAACAAACTCGTTGCACCTCTTCTGTTTAATTCCGTTAAATTTTCCCTATATCTCCTAATAGAAATATATTAGATGTAGAGTCTATTACTTCCTACAAACCGAACTTTATGCTTTAGGATATATTACATGGAAAACAACGAAATTTCCTTAAAAGATTGCCATTTTTTGCTTAAATTCCTTTTAATGTGTAGTTAAAGAAATTGCTAATTGTAAATTATCTCTTTCCCTTTTACACAATTAGTTTCTGCAAAGCAGCTCCAAAGATACCAGCTACAAATAAATCTGACATGCCGGGTAAGTTTCTGGTCTTTTGTATTACATAAATTGGGAACATTTGATCGCCTTGCGCATTACGAAATGTTACAGTTAACTCGTTGAACTTTAGCAAAACAAATGTACGTCTACTAATTGCGCTCAAATAGGATCACTTTTTGCATACCAATCCCCTCACAACCCACGCCATTACAATAAATAGAACATACAAACGGAGATATATATATATAACAAAAGTTGCAAAATTATATGTTTTTTAAATTTCATTAACAAAATAAATAAATAAATATGTATCCATTCACATATCAATCTAAGTTTTTAGTGAAAAAATTCCATACACGTGCCTTAGAAACATAAACAAAATAAATGTTGCGGGGAGAATTTTTCTGAGGTGTTGTTTATTTCCATAAAAACTTATCTAGCTTTTGTTCATTTTCATAGAAAGATGTGCGTTTATTGTTTACTTATAAAAAGATGCGCGGTTTTTGTTTACTTTCATAGAAAGATGTGCGTTTTTTGTTTATTTTCATTCATTTCACATTAACATCATAAATTTCACATTTATTATGTCTCGGCTTTGCATTTTAACAGAGTTGAACCTATGTTTTCTGTTAAGTTGGACATTTAACTCTTTGCTTTGCCTCTTAACAGGGAATTTAGCGAGGACTCTGTTTAAAAATTATGACGGCTTAATTTTAAGCTAACTTGTAAAATAAAAGAAATTAAGAAATTTTATATGAAAACATAGATTTATTAATAAAAAATAAAGAAACATTAGATACTAAATAAAGGTTAACTTGTAAAATTGAAGAAATTAAGAAATTTCATATGAAAACACATTTATTAATAAAAAATAAATAAACATTAGTTACTAATACTGCTATTAACAGAGTTGAATCTTTGTTTTGCCGACGGCTTTGCGTATCATCAAAATCGGAGAAAAAAATAAATATTAACAGTGGCTTTGGGAAAATCTTTTTGACAAACTCTTTGGATATTCCCCGCTTCATCTACATATGCAACATTAATATAATAAGATAGTTTTAAAGTTTTTAAATGACATACTACCGTATAAAAAGAGAATTTGACTTTTTGTTTGTTGACTTTTGAGTAAAGACGTTTTAAAAAAATAAATTTAAGTGCATTTGAAAAAATATGTTACTTTTAGTTCAAGAATGATAAATCCTTTCAAAAAACTGTTTTTGTTTTTAAATTTTTTAAGCTGGCAGGTCTCTCCAGACGTTTGTTTCTCTTTTTGCTGGGATTGCCTGATAAGAATGATTATTTCACTAAAAGTGAAATATTTTTGATGAAAATTGCTAAAGCCACAACACCAGACAAAATAAAAACTAATTTTTTCGTAATACCTCAATGCTTTATAGTTTTTTCTTTTAATAGAATTTTTTTTTTTTTTTAAAAGAATTAAAATTGCAATCGTTATAAACAACTAACTTTCGCACTTCGTTTTGTTTTTGCAAAGAAAACAGCTGTTGTTCAGAAAATTACTATTTTGCGTGCGTTTGTTGCAGCTAGATGTGGTTGTTGCTGTAGATCTATAACGTTGGAAAATTCCGTATGAGTTAACATAAAAACAGTACTACAATTCATTCTCCACCTTTTTTCCCTACTAATTTTACAGCGCTGTTCATAAAAAAGCGCAGTCGTAGCGAGAATTTTAAAGTGTTCAAGCGTTTGGAGGGGTGTTTATTAAAATTGAAATGTTTTAAAAAATGATTAAATTGCACAAAGTAAATAATAACATTCCTGATATTTGAATTAATATAAAAAAAATGAAACGTACAAAAAAACTTTTGTAACAAAAAAAATTTGTGATATACAACAACAAGTGTATTCTTGTGAGTAGCGGGCTAAAACAAAAAGAAATCCTATCGAAAAAAGAGCGCATGAATACAAAACAATAACAACAGATCGCGAAATTTAAATCATATATAATGCCGTTCTTATACTCCTATAAGGATTGTCTAATAAGATGTTAGAGTGTATGTGCGTCGTTAGTTCTTTAATTTTTTATTATATAGAAACAAGTGCGAATATAAAATTCCAAGAATTTTTTTACTTGTGAAATACAGAAAGTGTTACAATTTTTGTGATTTTAATTGAAATGAAAATACCGACAAACGGGCAATATAAATAAATGGTTAGTTGTTTATTCTAAGCTTTATATCGCTGAAAGAAAATTGAAAGTGCCGTCAATTAAGTTGAAACTTTTTTGCGGCTAGTGTGGAGTCCTAAGTCGCACTTTTTGTGATAAGATTATTGTTTTTATTTTGTTTTTTTATTGTTTTTAAGAAAAAAAACCCGCTTAGTTAAAATACAGTATTATTAACGGTTATCAATTAAGTGTACTCATTATTACTTCATGTTGTGCTCATTTACAAATTCTATTACTAAGTGTGCCTTTGTTTTTTTTGTTTTATGTTTTTTGCTTATATGTGTAAATAAACTGCAAAAAAGCTGTTCAAAGAAGGAAGAAGGTTTGTTGTGAAATCAATATCGATATAACAAGCAAATTTATGGACGCATTATTTTGATGAAGTTTGAAAGTGTGAAATTTTGGCATTCCGTTTAATGACCTTGAACTTTACATATTTTTCTACTTGCGCAGGTGGCTTTTTAGGCACAAGAAAAGAAAAGTTCAAAATTTTTCTATTATCAATTATTGTACAGAAGAAGTTATTTACGATATATAATAGAAAAAAGTTCAAAAAAGCAGTTAAATTCGACTAAATCTTTGTTCATGGCTTATTTTATATAAGAAAAATTGAAAATGTGTGTATATGAATACAACTTGACTTTAATTTGAAATTGGCAATTAATATTCGTCGAAGAGCTCCGCAACGTAATTTGAAATATCTGTATGCCATAAATCGTGTCGTGTTGGTGCAGTAACGTTATTAATGCAGTATCACATATAATAACACAGAAGTGATGTTAAATCTTTCGTTTTGAAAGGTAAGTTATAAAATTCGATGAATAGTCTGTTTGGAAAAACCAGATACCCTTCAAGTTTATGGATAGACGAATTTCATTTAATCTCACTAACTAGTTTCATAAGAGAAATAGACAAATTTTGCTTTGACATCGCGAATTTTCAAAATTCGTTGGAGAGATAACAGATTTTGCGTTAATATAAAATTCGTTAAGATAACTAGGAAGCCAAGTAAATTCATTAGCCAATTATAGTCTTATCTGAACAAGGTTGGTAGTTAAAACGATATACTTTGGAATAAATGAAAGGTTGTAGGTTAAAAAGTAATTTCATAAAATTAATTTTGGCCCTACCTTGTCTAAATTAATAGTATAAGTTTAGCTGTTAAAAGCACTTAGTTTCGGTTGGCAGGTACACCAGTAAATACCGACTGGGCTGTTCGATAGAAAAACAAAATTGTTTTTGTTTTCAAATAAAATTAATTAATCAATGCCTAGCTTTAGCTATAGATTCCTACCATCGATTATCGATTATAAGAAAAAATTATCTTTTATTTTTATATATTATTCATCAATTTGATGTATATAAGAAAATATACGCGTATCATCTTAATAACTGTAAGAATTAATTGAAACTCTTAGCAATTGCCTTCCTCGACCTGTAAAAAGGTTTTCTTAAAAATTCTTATGCCTTACTTAAAATCCTTTGTAGTGATCTATACCGAATATAAGATTCAGCCTTGTTATCATTTAGGTTAAACAAGAGAAAACACTGCAAAAATGTATATATGCCTTCTCGCACAAGTAAATTTTTTATTTATTTATTTTTAGTTTTTTTGTAAAGAACCGGCCTTTGGAAGTTATAAGAAAAAAAAAAAATTATAAAAAACCAGTTTTTCGGTTGGACTTAAAGTAAATGCAGTCAGCAGCAGACGACTATCGAAAAAAAAAATACAAAATTTATGTTTAAATATCTACATTTAAAAAAAAACTCTGTATTAAAGAATAGTGTAAGTAACTTATAAGCGTTATTTCCTGGAAATTACATAAATCGTAATTATTTTGTGTTAATCAAATTGAAAAATTTCATAACTATTTAAGTAAAAGTAATATTAAGGTGTGGGATTATAAGATATGCCGCAAGATAAATATTGTAATTTTGTCAAATCTCTAAAGCAATCGTGTGAAACTTTAACAATCCTTTATATCTTTCCATCATTTGGCTGCGCTGTAAAAATTCCAAACCTGACGTAAAATGCAAAATGTTTAAGGCAATTATCGATTTGTCAACTCTCGTACCTCCAAAAGATAAAAATTTAATTGAGAGTGCAAACAGTCAGTAAATAATTTAATTGTAAAATAAAAACAAACAAAAAAATTTTAATTCATTAAAGCGTTTTTGCAACTGTGCAGCGACCGTTTTCTTGTTATTTTTGAATCGTTGAGACGAATCTTGAATGCTCGCTAAGTTAGCTAAATAAAGAGATCTTAGTAAAAACATCCTAGATTTCTCAACACGGACAGAATATGCCTCGAAATCCCACTATATATGGATTGTTTCTCCTTAATATAGTTCCGTTAGGGTGTTTACAGAGCTCACAGAAAGAGAGAGACTTCGAAAGTGTTTTCCGCAGTTAAATTCGAATTTACTTTCGCACACTTCTAATCATTTTCCATCAAGTTGACCAAAATTTTCTGATCTTAACCTATAAAATGTACGTGTCCTTAATTACTGTAAGTAGTGAAATCAATTTGTCGCTCTCCGGTCTTATATGCGCTGCTCGCTTACGTTCTAAAAATTTTGTTTACTTTACCTTTATGGATTCCTTAATCAATTAAAGGGCGTGAAGATAAATTCGAAGTTCGCTAGCAAAGACATCAACCATTCCCCTGAACAAAGCACGGTAAACATCCTGAGGTGTCCACAGAAATATTTACGTTTTTAATATGGACAGAGTAGGCTTCAAGATCGAACTATATCTTATTACAGAATATTTAATAGAGACCCGTCAGGATGTTTACAGAGCTCTGTTAAGAGAAATTGTTGGTGTCTTTGATAGTGAAATTCGTATTTATCTTCACACGCTTTAATCGAGTTAAGTTGAAAAATCAAATAATCAGCGTTAATTTTCGTTTGTCCTTTTATTAGAAGCACAACTTATTTGCTTTTAAATTCTTTATTTTTACCGCCGCCGGTTGGAGTTAAAAAGTCTGCACGACTCCACGTCCAGTTTCTTCTTATATGTTAAAGGAAATTTGTTTTCCGTTCATTTGATATAAACTTGTTATCAATACTTACTTTTTCAGGTTAACAGTGTGAGATGATTGTCAAAACAGCAAAGAGGAAACTGACTCCTTTCCATTTTCAAAATGAACAGTCTACAGTTTGCTATAACTCCCGACTTTTCAAATTAACTTTGCAACAAGAAATGATTCAAGTGGCAGCACGCAATGTTGTCATAGCTATCAAATTACTTTAGATGGCAACAGGATTTTTATTTATGCCTTGCAATATTTGTCGGTTTTCACTGGCGTTTGTTTTTTTTTTTTTTTTTGTTAAAATTTAATTTACCTCTTTGGTAAAAAATTATAAGTTAAAAAGTTTGAAATCACTTTACGATTTCGAATTAATTGATTAATTGTGGAGCCATGCATGTGCGAGATTAAGGTTAACACGTTTTAGGGTGACCCGATTGTGACGATTGCTGATAGGGTCTTCTCAAAATTTTTATCAAATTTTCAATCGATATTTGCGATGAGATAGTGGACAAAACCTAATCCATCATTATTACTTGTTCTTTTTTCTTTTACTGTTATGAGAATTACAGCAATATTGGTCGGGCTAGTGGAGATATAGGTGACCTCATCTGAAGTGGCTTCGAATTTAATAGAGATCATGATTAAGCAAAAAAGAATACAGAGGGATTCTTCAATGTAAACTCCTTTAAGGATCACAAATGGAATGGAAAATTATAGTAATAATTCCATAGTACACTGTATGCATCTAACAATAAGTGGAATACATTTTGCTTTTTTTTGTTTGTTTTTCATCTTAAATATTCATTGCATTGTTTATCGCATTTGAATGAAATGAAAATTCGCCAAAAATTTCTCGTGCACTTCGTATGAAAGTAATTATAAAAGCAATTGTTTTTTAATTTGAATTCATTTACCAGCAGGTTTTCGATTTTAAATCTTAAAACAATGTGATCAACGCTATAAAATAATGTACTGTATGAACTCAACACAAGCATACGCACAAATTGAGTATGCAAAAAAAAAAGATTCCGTTTTTAAAAGAAAATTGCTTTGTTGATATCGTTACGACATTACATAGAATCCCCCATGTTTATATATTGCCTGCTTACCAAACCAGTCTTAGAATGTAAAGAAAGCTGGACTTACATTTCTACGCATATCTCTTTTAGCCTAGATGCTATGATACAGCATTTAAATACAACTTTTAAATCTTCATAAATTAAAAATCGCATTTATGATAATATACATGTATACTGTGCTACATACTTTATCCTACATGTCCATGCTATATATTATATGTATTATACACTATATGTTATGCTGCACTATGTATTTATACTAATCTGTGCTAAATGTATTAGCATATACTAGACTATATCATACTTTATACACCAGAGTATACTGTACATACCGCCAACATGAAATATTGAAAAAAAGCCCTTTATAAATGTGTATGAAAATATCTTTCATCTTTGGAATGTCAGCATAAATGGACTATGGCAAAATGCTCAAATTGGAGACTTCAGTTCCGCCAAACTAAAAAATTGCGAAAATATTCACCTCTATACCCCTCGAACCTACATGAAAATAAATTTCGAATGAGCTGAAGGAATCCAAACAACATTTCTTAGATTGGTCGCGCACGCTCCAGAATGCCATTTCACGGCACTAGAGCTCACTAGGTTTAATAGTCGCACTAAGGGCGCATAGATTTGTCGGGTTGGTTGGGAGCTTCCCCTATAAGAATTTTGTTTGATAGGTGAATTAAAGTAAAGTAAAAAAAAAAGCAAAGTCGTATTTACAATTCAGTTTCGTAGTTTCATTGATGTATAAGTATTGAACGATGTATGACTGTACTTTCTGTGAAGATAACAAACGACATCCTGCATTATTAATACGGTGAACCTATGTTTTCTATTAACGAATCATGGCAAGTGCCAGTGATCCAGCCCCAAACCTTAGTTCGCAATCCAACCAATTCTGATCTTTACAAGTTGGAAACTAGAATTAGTCACATCAACGGTTTGTCCCTACTAAGGAGAATTTTCTTATTTTACAACCGCATTTGCCTCTGAATCGATGATTGCAATTCTCAAAACCTTCATTGCTTGTATATAGCAGCAACCCCTTAGTTGCAGTGTCATTCGACTAAATCCAAAAATTCATTCGTTCATTTTCGCGTCGCCTCAATTTCATATATCTCTCTCTGTATATAATATAATAAAGTGAAATCACGTCCATTTAGCTCAAACGAAATTTTTATCCACAAAATTGAACTTCATTTTAGAATATATTTCTATTTGCTTGTTTCTATAAACAATGATAAGCATTATCAAATAAAATACGTTTGCCTTTCGAGATTCTGTAGAAACTAATACAAATGTTTAGCTGAACATTTGGTAGCTGAGATGACTACAATACAATAATTATACCATCAGTAAAGGCAATAAATGCTGAGTGCAATGAACGCATTTTATTCTACTTCCATTATTTAGAAAAAAGTCCAATAAAATTATATTTAAAAAAAAAGAAAAAAAAAAGAAAACGAATAAAAAGTAAATAAAAAGCAGGCAAGGCTTGTTTAAGTCGACTTTTAGGCAACCTTCAATTAAGTCTCAATCATTTGTGAGCGAAGGCAACGCAGCATTTAAGAGTGATCTTTGAATTCGTTAATTAATAGGCCACGGCATACAGGTATACAGGGACATCGTGGCATTCCCCCCACACAAACAAGCATCTTGATTTACTGTCACACTGTGTTCATG